AATGCAGTTGACAGGCTCAATGACTGCTTACATTTGTAATAAGTACACTTCAGGTGGAACTGTGAAGGCAGTTTACGCTTCTGAAGCAATGAGCAGCAATGATAGGCCAAGTGAAGCCTAAATTGGTGCACCAGGAAGCAAGACAATGGGTACTGGTGACATATATATGCATGTCTAGATGAAATAAAAACTTCATACTTCTATTTCGAACTAAGAAGTCGAAGTGAAAGCAATCCGAATTATTGTATTGACCATGTTGCTTGTGACATTAGCAGGATGAGCATGCAAGCTCAAATCAGGATGGTTCAGCATGCAATGAGTTACTCGATTCAATAAAGATTTGATAGAAAGGCATAGTTAAGTAGCCATAAAGCACAAAAAGCAGATTAGTTTATTAATGAGTAATCAAATATGTATGTCTTGAATGGAACGAAGGAGACTGTAAATTACAGTTGACCGACAAATTTTAAGTCAAAATATCTATGCTACTTACAAATGGAAAAAGGTAGCAAGAAAGGATTAGGAAAAATTAAAATTTGAAAATGGATTGGCGGAACAAGGAAAAAATACGTCAATGATTAGATTATGAAATTATGCATTGTCTTAGGGCGAGATGAAAAGTAAAAAATGTAAATAGAAAGGAATACTGCTGAAAAGTAAAGGGAAAAAAGAAAAAAATTAACGCAGGGTTATTCGGGCTTTGAATGCTGGCCGAGAGAAGGAGGCATCGGATAGACTTGAACGGGACCCTGCTTGACAGAATGAGATTGAGGATAGACAGAATTAGAATCCCCACCCGGTATAAAGGGCGCCATTCCGAAGCCCTGTTGATGAGACAATGGGCCAGCTCCGGCCGGATAATTACAACCGGCAGTAGTGGAAGGAGTCATTCCATGCGGTGGAGGCATTCCTGGTGGCCCAACCAGCGAAGGCTGATTGGAACTTGGCATCGAGTGGTAGGGCGGCATTGAAAGGTTGCCGGCTCCAGGAGGGACAGAACCAGGGCCCCTCGGTTGACCAAATGAGGGTGGCACATTTTCGTAAAAATTGCCTGCCTGGCCACCGGGAGGCGGGAAGTAGCGCGACTGGCTGGAAGAGTGAACTGGAGAAGGTTGTCCTGGAGGCCCGTGTTGGAATGGCTGCACTCCTGTTGCCGAGGTTGCTGATGGTGCAACAATCTAATCACAATAAAGAGAATACCGCATATAATGCACAATTTGAATGATTGATATAATAGAGTGAAAGAATATGAAGGAAACAACATCAGCATTGGTGGAAACTTGGCCTCTCAGTATCCTATG